GAAATGTCAAGGGGGGAGGGGGATAAAAGTGGGTTCGGGAAAAGGAAAAGACAATGAGATCGAAGATGTCTCGGGCAGGGGAAGGAGAGAATCTTTTTTTTTCTTTCCTTTTGATTGGAATGCAAGAATTCAGAGGGGAAGAGAGATGCAGAGGAAAAGGGCAGGTAAATACCTTAGTAGTAGGAGTGGTGGTGGGTGGTAGTTGGTTGAGCCAGCAGGGTGGGCGGGACCATAAGAGGAAGAAACAACAATGGGAAGAAGGAAGCAGCGCCAGCAGAAGATTATAATAGTTATAATGCGTACAAATATAAAAGACAATTATAATTATACTTAGCCCACTTAAGTCCAACACTCAGGCCCGCACACACGCGAGATATGGGAGGATCCAAACAGGAGCTACTAAAACTACGTCGGCCTAGGACAGATGAGCTCAGACCTGGAAAATTAGAGAGACAGGCAGGCGGAGGAGCCAGAACGGACTATGAGATCGTCGAATCATACCGGAGGTTGTGACCACTTTAAAGTTACGGCGAATTACAGAAGCTTTACGGCTGCGAACTGCGGATCTTCGACGAAGTGTGGAGTGGGTTGGGATCATATTGGCGATGTGCGGATATCTGGGTGGGGAGCGATGGAGCCTTACCAGGGGGGTGTCCCTGGCCCCGAGAATTTCTTTTTTTCCTTTTTCCCTTTTGGCTGAGGGAAGACGAAAAGTATAAAATTAATATCAAAACAGAAAAATAAAACCGCGTCAAATTACATAACCGCTCTCACAATACAAGTTCCCACTTTTTTCTTACCGCGTATGTACCTATACACATATTACCAAAATTTCATACATGTTCCGTATTTCAAACCACTTACTGCACAGGAACTCCCGCTGCTCGCTCCCACAGCTCACATTCTCTATTCCGACTTCCACAGGCGAGGTATTCTCTCCCTTGCCATCTCTGTCGCTTTAGGATCTAACAGACCTTTACCACCGCGGAGACAAATCTTAAGAATGGGAATGAAGGAATCCTTCTACTGTGGCAGCTTTGTTGTTACGACCGGATTAATTACTGGCTTGAATTGTCGAAACTTCATTAGGCGAGAAAATCTTCTTGAAGGCTGAATTGGAATTGAACCCAACGATGAGGTTACATTGGAAAGAAACCGGTAGACAACAACGTGCTTAAAACGGCAGAAATAGTCCTCTTCTGGAGGTATACCAACATGACTCCTGCGAAGAATAATTCCTACCCTCATCGAATCAATGTGGTACTAGTCCGAATTAGGAGACATCGATGCGTATCCATTGAAGTGGATCGCACACGATACTAAGAGCTGCCAACAGACTGGGATTTTTTTTTTTCGCTAGAAATTAAGATTAGAGGGAGATTGGAGAAGGAAGAGAGGGGAGATCATATCGTACCTCTAAAGGGCCATATCGAGAATTAATTGACCTCGAAGTTCTAGCAAGCCTGTCACATTAGCAAGAACAGTGGCTAGATGCTAACGAGTGATTCGATCCCGATGACTTAAGCAGTATCATCAACATTCAGGCAGTTTTATGGGCTGAGGAAATAAGTTCCAGATGAAACTTGACTTTGCTACTAACGAAGACGCCACCTATTCTGTGTTCATATGTGAACGCGCTTATCTCTGGATGGATACACCACCATCTTCCCCTTCTACGCTGAAACCATCCCTCGCGACTATAGTTTTGGCCTTTTAGCTCTTCTTTAAGGTTTCGATGGATTTGGTGTGCTAAGCATTTCGCTGGCAACATCAGAGATCTCAAGTATACCCTCACGAATAGTTGATCGGCAATCCGCAGACACGCAGATATGCAAATATCGAAACAGGCAGGCAATACTCACACTCGGTATTGAATTTTCTATGGCTGAACATGGAAATAGTTCCAAAATCGGACTTTATCGGAATATCAAATGGAGATAGTGATTTAATAAGCATTGATCATATGCTGACGAGAAGGTCAAGTTCAATACACCTATTTTTCTTCGCTAAATTTTGGGGTGATGTATCTTTTCTTCTTTGGTCTTTGACCCTTTCTTTTCTTTTTTTTTCTTTCCCCCTCAACCCTCCCCAAATTGCGATCCATGGCGAACCGCCAAGTAAGGCTCCCCGCATTAGCATTGTCACAAGTTTACGATCGTTGATAAGATCTAATTCGATCCCAAAATATAAGGCTGGGCTGCGGTAGCCATTTCCTTTGGTCTAACGGGTCGTGATTTCCCATGTATGCTGGCAATGCTCTAGAGACAGGTCAACCTACAGCTTTTCATCATCTGTCTCATTGGATATTTTGTGACACAGTTCCTACCTGATCACAGATGAGCCTTTTACGATGAAGTGCGGTGGTTCCAGTTGTTATGTTTTAGTTACACTCCGCCCTTAAGCAGCTGTAAGATATTGTAGACAGCGACTACTAGTAGCTATGCTTGTGTGTTTCAGAACCGATTAACAACATGTTTACTACTGCTCTATTTGGTAGAGATCTGAAAGCAACCACAGTGGGGAAACGGAGTCGCATATCAGCAAAATCCATGTGCACACTCACCATTAATATATATCTGTCCATTTCTGGCTGCAGCTAGCCCAAAAGAAAATGCACCGTTGGATCGCAACTGGCGGAGATCTGTCCATTCACATTGCAGGGCAGCACAACCGCCCAAAACTTAGCTGCAGCCGTGGCTAGATTTTCCTGCCGCAGGGAATCAACATCTGCTACCCCTGACCCTCCATCTCCTACGCTCGTGATATGGGATAATTCCCCGCGCGTAGATTACAAAATTTGTAGGGAATGTTTTGATCAATCAGAAAAGCTGGCGCAGATAACTATAGGACTGGAGGGTCGAATAACAAACCCATTGGCAGAATGAATGAAGAAAAAAAGGGAAGTTGAGACTCTTGAGGAAAGGCTGGTAAGCAGCATATCGGTAATTTACCCGTGCCTGCGTTGCTTGTTCCATGGTACGGTACGACGCTCCCCGCTTTCCCTTGCTCGAGATCTCGGGCGTAGCCGTTCGTGGGTGGCACCATCGTCATCATCCCTTTTTTTTTTTCTACCCCCTTCTAACATTCTGGGAATATCATTCTCTAATCCTTCTCTGCACTTTATTATCTCACCGACATAATTATACAGACCACTAATATCTTTTCTTGTGTTCTTTTTTTTAATCTTTTCTTTCTTTTTTTACTCTTTGTTTCAGCCATCGCTTTCCGTGATGGTCGGGACCCCGGCGAGTGCATTTACCATGAACTTACCTCGCGCTCCTGCATCTTGGTCTTACTTTCCTGATCAATAATGGGTCTAAAGTCAGACTAGTGTGAGAATGTTAGTAATAGCAGTAAACTATTGAATATGGTGGAACCGGAGAGCATCCTTTAGTGCGTCAGTGGTTGGGGTAAATCTGTACAACGGTGTGCTGGAACTTGGAAAGAGCCAAGCCGACACTTGGCCTTCGAAGTTACTTACTCCATGGAGCACCGATGCACATAACTTTCCGATCGATCGATCGGTGATAGGTAGCTGCAACAAGCGTGCTCACTTAGTCGGGAAGGATAGGCACTAACAAATATTTAGGCCACACCATTAGAAATGAAATACAGTGCACTACATATTCTGTGCTGTTATCAGTGGCCCTCCCAGGATCGGACTATTTCCCCGAAAGGATATTGTGCCGTATGCGCGGTCGTATCATACACAGCAACCCTCCCCCCACCGGAGTAGTAGTAGGACGTTCCTTCAGCGCGAAAGACCCAAACAGAAAGGGACGGGTTAATAAAATCTCTGTTGACTAGTATGTCAGTGGCTTTTTGTATTCCACTTTAAAACTGTTTTGAAGACATGGTTATACAGTTTACTTAACCAAAGGGATGGCAGAGGCAGTATTCTATCGTTGTTACTTGTTCAACCGTGGCATGCACGTTGCAGGTCTTTGGGGGGACGATCCATCTCCGAGCCGAGATCTAGGCCACATGATTGGCGATGGCCAACGAACGGGCGCGTTATTTATCGTATAGGCCTCAGATCGACGCCAATCGCCAGTATCATCTAGTGTAACGGATGTCTATGCATGAGTCTGCTGGTCAAGATATTGACGTAACCAGTCAATCTATGGTGGCCCCAACTTCTGAATCGTAGATTTGCGCTTCTATAGATTAATTAATTAAGCCCGCAATTATAGGCGGTCGTTTTGTTTCTTTATCGAATTTTTCCTTCTTGATTTAATCTATCTACTTTCCTTTTCTTTAAGGACGTATTACGTATTTGAAGTCTCGCCTAACTAATGTATGCGAGATGATATCCTCTTGCTCTTGACTCTTCTCACTATTTTATTTCGGGAGGGGGTCATTGTACCAAATGGAACGTACAGGAAGAATATTGGAACAGTGGATCTTGAATGCATACGATACGGGCTTACTGCAGAGAACAAGCTTTGGCTCATTCTGATCTTGACTTTGAATCTCGCTCCATACAGGTGTGTTATTATCAGGATACGGTGTAACAGCGAGAACAACCACTGTGCTCTGACAACTGCTATGAAGTGCTTCATATGACGGGGTCATTTCTGCGGTTACATTTCACTCAGAACCATGATTCGGGTTGAGTGATGTAATCCGTCATTCCAACGGCTCTGAGATCGAAAAAGTATGCCGACTATGAACTTAACGAGACTTCTGCCCCTCGAATATATCGAATTCAAGAGTTAGCATTTCATGAATATCAGTTGTTACAAAGTTTTGGTGTTAATCTTTTTTTCTCCCTCCCCTTTATTGTAGGGTGTGTATTCCCCTAGTAATGCATGTCGCATACGTATTGTAGACAGTTGGATGAGAAAGTGGGCAACCGATATGCAGCTACGAGTCAGACAACAACCAAAATATTAATATGAACTGTGGAAAACCCCCCTAACTCAAACTACCACCATCATCCCATGACGCTTCAGAGTTCAGACCCATGTTTACCCGGAAATCGTCGGCCCCTGGAAGGAAGCAACCATGCTCATCCACCGGTACTCCGTGGAGAGATCTGACTCAAAGAGAATCATAGCCCCTCAATCTAAATTAAAGAGTACTCAGTACTTACTCAGTACCAACTACCAAAACAATAGGTTTCTAGTGGCTTGCTTGCTTGCTTGCTTGCTAGTGCAACTTTTGGCATGCCCCCATCGAACCCAGACATGGCTACTGGAAACTATTGCCGGTCCATTGCCATTTCCCGTGGAGCTGCTTGATCTTGCGACCGGCCCGGGTACGTAATATTTAGCACCGTTGAACTTGGCTCTCCCACTCTAGCTTTGAGGAAGGGAACAGTCTTCTGCGAACTGCACTGCACGGCGAGGCTAGGGGAAGCTGAGCTGACTTCCAGCAGATGGCGCTAAAAATGTTCCTTGAGGGATCAACTGAAAGTAACCGATCTTTACCCGAATTAGCAAGGCTACGGTAATCACTTCCGCCAGGTCCAACGCATGGTGTCGGAGATCCCTGAAAGGAAAGGATTGGACGTTTTTCTCTCTGATTACTATCCTGTTCCATCGATCGTTCACATGTGATGTTGGGAGGGGACCCAAGGCCATGACCTCATCCTACAGACTTTAATTCTCCTCGTCATTAATTCATCCCCATGGAGGGTTCCCCCTCGCGAGATATACTTCCCGCATTAGTTCTGTCCGGATGCAACAAACCAGGAACACCAAAGCTATGACGACAGGCCTCTCTGTTCATTTGGTACTTTTGGTCGTATCTACCGGTGCACAGACTGAGTGGCGGCAGCGAAAATAGATCTGCCAGCGGTCGCCCCCAATAATGACCGACTTAATCATACGGACTTAGTCGACATTGCAGCTACTGCCCGGCTATTAAGTGAGTCATATTGAGGTTTAAGTGTACGAGCTGTTATGCAACATAAATCACTTGGGAGCGCAGTGGTGTCTGGTTTAGAACTGAAAATACAACAAGAGAACGCTGTGGCCGGAGCGCTCGCTAAATCCCAAAGCGGATTAGCATCCTCGGGAAATCTTTGCATGGCGCAATGTCCCAAGCTTTTGACCGGCTCTGATTGGGTGAAGCGGACGCACTGACCAGTATCTCCATACAGAGTAAGTAGTTAGGTACTGGCAATACCATCACATTGACCGGCTTGACGAAAGTGACAGCCTACGTATTCTACGGCTGAGACACATCGTCCAAACCCCTCTTCACCAACTGTCCTTGAAGTTGTTTTGGCCCCTCCTACAACGGCCCTTAGATGCGTCGCTCACTCTGTATAACGGATCCTCTACACCAAAGGGCAATACCGTTCTTGACTTCCAAGCACTGTGACTGTCGTCATTGGAAGGCTGGGTGGCAGTGACTCAATGCACTGGGTGATAAACCCAGCATCCGGAGCTTGGGCTTTGCCGCAGTCCCAGGAAGCCTCTTAACGTTGATGGGTCTAACCTAACAACAGGGAAGCCACCAGACCAAAGCGGTCCAAGGGTGACCAGTTGCTTTTAGCGTACATCAGTTTAAGTATTTCCCGGGCATCAGCCGGCACTAAAAAGTTACAGCAAGGGCCCGCGAATGCGATCTATCCCAAGCCTGAAACGCGTGGGAGACATGTCACGCGCTTGCATGGCCTTTGAAATAGCTAGATATCATACAAGAAGCGTCTTGTAAGGGACAATGATTACTACTGTGGGAAAGAATTATCCGGCGCGCGTTATCCCGGCTATCGATCACTAAGAAAATGGTTGATCATCCATCGTTCACCAATGCTTCAGCCGTGAACCTATGTCTTCCCTGCTAACGGAGACACTCAATCTACGAAGTTATACCGTCACTAGTGGCGTACTCACTCTTCTGACCCACTAGAGTTATCCTGCTTCTACCAATCAACCATGATATTGTACAGGGAGATTGAAAAAGATGTTTTACGTCTTTTTCAAAGTACATGTTATACTGGCCCCTTGGGGGCTATCTAGGTGGGACTTCACCTACGAATTCCTAAAAGTACCGCCGAATTGCTATTTTACACGACGCCACAGAGGCCTGGTAGAGGGCCTTGGTACCCAGAACTCTGCTGACTGGTATGGTTGTTCTCTATATTCGATTATCACGTTCAATAAAGGAGTCGGAAATACGGCAACTATGGGGCCAGATGGACAATGTGGGGTGTTGTATACAGCCCCAGCCAGCAAACAGGCTTTCAGGGTTGAAAGAGTCAGGAGTACTTTCAGAGCACACCGTTGGTATCGGAAGAGTTCTATCAATAAGACATATGGCAGCCAAAACAGCTCTACTGTGTCATAATGGGGTTGGAGACTGGTGGGCCGAAAAGCGGATAATGGGATCGACAGCGCCAAAAGAGATGGTTCAAGGGCCGTTGCGACCGTTGGCTCGCCGTCGCACCTCGCTAACGTTTTCGCTGACTGCGCTCTATCAATATTAGGATAAGTACAGCTGATGGATACCGGCAATGGGGGATGGGGTGGGACCGGGTCCTACGATCGCTCAAGGATGGTCAAAAAATCATCATCCAGTCCAGAGAGGAAAGTGAGCGACAGCGCTTCGACCATTATGGCAAGAGCCCAGGATGCGAGCGATCGCATCCTCCTCAACAGTTACCTGCTCATTGGTGCAGACATCGTGTCATGAGTCCATTCGAAATTTGATACTCCTCTCACTATTGCCTGCCACCCCTTTCGCCATCTGGGGCTGGTTACTGACGCTCCAACAGCCATTACAGCGCCAAATACGTCCGCATCAGTGAGGGGGATCCTCTTGATACTTTCTACACTGACTCGTAATCCTTGCTGTTTGTCCGACGAGTCATCAGTCAAGAAATTGCAGCTGTTTTCACGACGAGATACCTCGGTATAGTGTGTAGACGCCTCTCCGGGTCATGCCAAAGGTACTAATGCGCCCAGTATCTCGATCTGCTAGCTACGAGCTATTTCTGCACAGTCCTTTGGGTTGACCTGGCCCTTGTTGTTTTGCATAAGACGGGCCGATTGCTCATGGGCCAAAAGGCTGGCACAGCTGTATGGGCCGGAAAAAAGAGCAGAAGGGGGGTAGGAAGAGCTCCAGTGTCAAAACGGTAGTGGATCCCTCCCGGTAAACTCTCCGACGACTTATCCCAAACCAGGAAGTTGACAGCTGGGGTTTCGTCAAAAACGGCTAACCCCGATGTTTTTCACCTCTGGCCTGCTTTGTCCTTGGACTACCAAGACTTGGGTTTCCTGCAGGCCGACCGATTGGGAGCGCGTTTAATGACGCTAACGGTCTCCGCCAACCACCTAGTATGGTCTCTACTGAGTAAATTCCCAAATTTCCAAGTCCACTAAAGCCCATTTGAGGGAATAATTGATCTCTCATCGAATACAGGTGCAGTACTTTCAATATCAGTAAGTTCCTGAGTATTGTTTAGTACCCAAAGATTCGCTGAAAGGTAAGTAACAATGGTTACGAAAGATTCCCATTAGAGATTCGGTTACCATATATGCAAGTGAGAAAGGAAAAATCCGTGCCATTGACCACAGTAGAATTCGGAAGGGCTTCCTTCCAACCGGCAACAACACTCATCCATGCACGATTCAATCTTAACCATGTCCCTTTGGCTGGTCAGGATGCCCTATAAGGTGTTCTACTGTGTATAGAATGACTTCAATATAGAGCGCTGTTACAGTCGAGTATGTATGGTATTGTGAGTACAGTTGCTGAGGATAGCCTCGGTCTCCTCCTTCCATTTAAGGAGTCTAGGGGATCAGACGGAGGGCCGGCCCACTTGTCGTCCATTCCTCTTTCACCATTCCTTCAGCACCCCCTGGAAGACACGTGAAGTGGACCATATTTTATCGGCTCCATTCATTCTCCCGTCTTTGGCGTATTGTGTACCAAGATTCGACTGGAGAAACCCTTGTCTTGGTGACGAATTCGACAGATGGCCCTGTCAATCATCGGAATCCTTTACAACTAAGGTGTTTGTCCCACCCATGTGTGGCTATCTGCATGGCTGATAGAGAGACTATGAACGAACAAGAGGGTGTACAGGACCTCTGAGCCACAGTGACGATCGCCACTTCAGGTTTGCATACAGGTTCCATGGTCAGCTCGACACGAACGAATTCTATAGAAGACCATAATATTGTCAGAATTCTTGTTTACAATGGGGGCAAGAAGAAAAGGAATGAACAGAAAAAAGAGAGAAAAAAGAAAAAAAAAAAAAAAAAAAAAAAAAAAAAAAAAAAAAAAAAAAAAGAAAAAAGAAAAAGAAAAATTGCAATAAGAAAAAAAAGAAAAAAAGAAAAAAGAAAGCAAGACCGCATTATTGTGTGCCATAACAGTCTAACGGTCTTGGGTAGGGTGTCCCGCCGTCTTCAAATTTTTTCCACACCTCAATTTTTTTTTTCGGCCCTTGTCGCCTCATCTTGCGCCGGCCGCAAGACGGATCTACTTCGGCTCTCGTGCATACCCCGAATCGAGTCGTAAGCAAATCCCGAAACATCGATGGACACTGAGATCTATAATCATTACTTCTCGAGCATCTACACTCCAATATTGGCACCGACGAGGCGGTTGGGCGATCCACCAGACACGGTTCCTTGAAGGGAGCAAAAGTGGATAAGAAAGAACGAATTAACAGAGAATAACACGACCACAGCAAAAGAGGCTGCCATCTCATGAATCATGTAGTGGCGCGGCCCAGCAGACTGCAATAGAACCGTTTGGGAGCCACAACCATAAGATCGGTGTGGTGTCAAAACGCCCCAGCAAGCCCAATCCTGCTTTCCTTTCTCAGCAGCTCGAGTGAAGGACTTGGCGTATTCGGAGGCCGCGGCACGGTAACTGCCAGATACGCACCCATTTCCAAGCCGTTGAACGTTGACTTTCCCCACCACATCTACGGACCCGGCTGTGGTGTGATCCACCTCTTTGGTGGTCAGGCCTGACGGATCACTGGGGGACGCATCAGCGCAAATCCGGAAGGTTAACTATGCATGGTGGCAAAAAGTACGCGATCCTAGTGAGGCATAGATACATGAGATTATCTCGATGACATGTCGAGGATATCAACTAAAGTACGTGAAATCTCCGTCTGGAAAGATGAGGTGGCGGATCTCGCATTCATTCATTAGCCAAGGCCATCTAGTCCTCCAAAGGTTGTCACCCGAAAAGGGATAAATTAGATGAACCAAATTTTTGGAAAAGGGCTGCGAACTGGCAGTCCCCGCTCGCTAGGTAGAGTACATCTTCAACACAACATAATACAGGCTGAGTAGCGCGGTTCCCGGTAGAATGGATCTGATTGACGGGTTCCAGTTCATCACTTGACTTAGCTTCTGGTGATATTCTCGACTTTCACTCTTCAAATCCTCCGTCCCGTCCGTCTGGAAGCCCGCAATAAACCCATTACTGGAAACCCGTCGAATTT